TGCAAAAAAAAACATCATGTACAGCTCACCCCGGCAGCCTCACACGACCAGGCGCGAGTGGCATACCGAAGGACGCGCTGAAGACGCTGCGTATACCTAAGGACGCGCTAAAATGACGGCAGCAGAAAGCGTGCGGACAGAAGGCAGGAAGACAGGCCAGATATAACACACCTAGGCATCCACAGATAGGCCTCTTATCCCTTTAGCAACCCCCGCGCCCATCCCAGCAGCCCTGACCCCAACCAGGACCATTCAAAAACAGGCACCCGAACCCGCTCTGGGGTAGTGGGGGGAGGCATTTTGGCCCGTTTTCCGCGGTGCGCCCAGTAATGACAGCGAGGGACCCTTGAGGGCGCAAGAAAAGCAAAAAACGTCGAAACAATCCAGAAAATCCGTGACGCTCTTCGCGTACATCCCCAGGACGAAAAATGTTCCCTCTTGAGCCAGGAACGACGGGTTTGTAAGTCTTGAACAGACGCGTATGAGATAACCGCCGGCGGATCCCATGAAGTTCGCGCGGGTCCAATTTCGGTGTTGGTTTTTGTTCGGTGGATCCGATGCCCGTCCGCGCGGATCCATATTCGGGTGTTCTGGACCCGCGTCCAGTCCTAATATTTGAAGAGGCGGATCTGGTTTCTACTCCGTTTATCATTCTAAATAATAAAATAAAACGGGAAACCGGAAGAAATCTGATCCGCGGATCCCGAAGCCTGCCCATGTTAAGGTTCTACGGCGGAAGGAGGTTCGGTCATCAACTTCCCAGGTGGGTCATGCGCTGTCTCGCTCACTCCCGTCCACTTTCCGCGCGCGGGGGCTCCAGTCAACATGAATACATCTCTCTCCTCCCGGTTGCTGCACGCAGCTCGTTCAGACGCCGTCCGTTCGGCGGTGCCGATGAGCTCATCATCGCCAGTTGCACCTCAAGAGGAAGATCTTTCGTCCTGCGTAAGTGTCCCGACCAGCCCATCCAGGAACGATGCCCAGGCGAGCTGCATTGATCAGGGAAAGCCAAGGAGCAAGCAGCGGAACAAAGAGAGGGGCAGTCGTCAAACCTAAGCTCGGGACCAGCCTGAGAAGACCCAGGAGTCAACCATAAATCCATGATCGGACCTTTCGATGTGGGAGCCTATTAACAGATTACTTGGGGCAACTTGGGGCCCTCTGGGGGCTTTGTTTGAAACCTTCGGGCCCTCTTGGGGCCCTTTTGGGGCCATTTGAAACCCTTTTGGGGTCATCTTGGGAGCCCTGGGGGCCCTCTTGAGGCCATCCAGCAGGACATCGATCAAAGAAGGGGGGCCTTGACAGACCCGCCCCTCGGGAGCCCAAAGAATTGCATTTGGGAACCCTCTTGGGCTCTTGGGGCCGTCTTGGAGCCCTCTTGGGCCCCTCTTGGGGCTCTCCTGGGCGCCTCAGAAGCTGGTTGGAAGCAAAGGCCAAAACACTAAAATCGTTGATAACATAAGTTTTCTTGGAGCAATCTTGCAGCGGTCTTCGGACATCTTGGAAGCTAGGTTGAGCCATCTTGGGCAGTCTCGTCCTATCTTGGAGGCCATCTTGGGCTCTCAAGGGTCATCAGGGAGCCATTGGGCCATCTTGGGCGAGGGGGCCCGAAGGGAAAGAAGGAGGTTGGAAGAGGAAACGCATTAGACCGAATCAGCACCAAAGAGTTGGCGGGATAAGCCTGGAAAAACACTCAACACCGTGCAGCTACTGGTAAGGTCGAGCCGCCCGTGGTTGACCCCGATGGGGCCGTGGGTGGAACTCCCTACGGTGGCACGATCCGCGCGAGGGTGTGTCGCACTAGGCGCGGGGACGACATGCGGGTGCCCCCACGAATGCCGTGGGTGGAGCTCCCTTTTTAGCATGAATCACACAGGAGGTGCCGAATTGGGTGCGGGCGCGCATGCGAGCCCCATCACGCGGACCGTGGGGCACGGTCCGCGTGAGAAGTGTGCAGCATTGGGTGCAGGCCCGCATGAGGAAACTCCCACTGATGCTGTCGATCGAGCTTCAAATTGGGCACGATCTGCGTGAGACGTGCCGACGTGGACGCGTGCCCACATGCGAGCCCTCTCCCTGGGCCGTAGGTGAAGCCTCCTACGCAGCCGGGCACGCGTGAGCGGTGTGCTGAATGGGGCGCGGGCCCGCATGCGAAACCTCTCACTGGTGCCGCAGGTGGAGCTCCCCGTGGGGCACGACACGCGCGAAGGGTGTGCGGAAGGGGGCGGCGGCACACGACACCGGCAGCGGCAGGGAGGACGAAGGACAGGAGACGCGAGGCGCAGTGGAGAGAAGGCAGGCACCCAGCAGTGGTAGGGTTGGGAAGAGGTGTGCGCCGCCAGGTCGCCAGGTCCTTCTTGTCCTTCTTGTCCTTCTTGTCCTTCTTGTGCTTCTTGCCGCCTGGCCGAATCGCCTCCTCTGCGAGGTGGCCAGCGACCGCCCCGCCGAGCACCGCGGCGACGCCCCCAGCGAGCGCCATGCCCGGGTGGTCGTGCGCCCACTTCCCCAGGCCTCGAGCGAAGCAAACCACGCGAGCCCGCTCGTGCCGTGGCGACCTGGGCGTTGGCTTCTGACATCGCGTGGGTCGTTCCGCCTTGGATGATCGTGGCTCTCCGATAGTGCGGGCCGTTCGAAACCGGCCGACTCGGGGCCACCAGCGGTGTTTGAGCTCGAATGCCCGCGCTGGGGCTGCCGCCGCTTCGACACAACGCGAACCTGCCGAATCCCCACCTTCCCCTTACATCTGAGGACACAGGCAGAGGAGATCACGTCTTGTCGATACCCCCGCCATCCGGCGTGCGGTCCCGTGCACGGCGAGCGCCGCGTCATTTTCGCGTCTGGACTTCCGCGCCAAACTGGATCGAAGAGTTGGGGCGAGGCGGCCGCCCAGGCTTTCTCGCTAGGTCAACGCGTCCCACGTCACGTTGGCTTCGCGTAGAAACTCCACATCCAGGTGTCCAGACGCTGTGCAAATTGCCAAGGTGCCTTGCGTTGACCATAATTCAGATGCAATAGAAGGGAAGGAGGGGAGTGAGCGGGGCCCGCTGACTCGCTCGAGGTGCAGACCTCGACTCCTTCCCCAGAAAAGTGCCTGCACTCGGGGGTCCCTGCTTGTTGTATTGAGGAATTGGGTGGGTCACCCGAGGCTGAGACTGGTGGTCGCCCCGTGACCGCCCGTGGGCCGCCCCGTGGTCGCCCGTGGTCGCCCCGTGGCTGTGCGTGGCCGCCCCGTGGCCGCCCCGTGGCCACCCAGCGTGGCTTGCATCACGTAGCTTGTGCCACCTTTCTTATGCCGCAGAGCGTGCACCGCGCACAGTGCACCACTGAGTTTGCACCGCGTAGCTTGCACCATGTAGCTTGCAGCTCCTGGCTTGCACCACGTCCCCTGCACAGCGCAGCTTGCACCACGTAGATTGCACCACCAGAGCTTCCACGTCAAAATGCAACACCTTGCTCTTACTGTTTGGGGTCCACGCTGGCTAACACACTTATACTCCGTCTTATTCCCCATTCGCACATGCTCCCACTCTGCCACCTACACGCCCGATAGCCAGCATGAGCGGGTGGTCCCGTCTCACCTACCAGAACAAGACAACGTCGGCACTTGTCCCTTCGACATGGACTTTTGTCACCGGTGCCACAAGATGCATGGCAGGAGTGGGACACGGCGCACAGCGAGCGCAAGAGAAGGGCGAAGGGCGGCTCTCGCTCGAGCGCCGCGCACACTTGTCTCTGAAAGTTGCGCTCCCGCGCGGGCGCGGCGCAAAGTTTCACTCGCCCAATCGCTGGACGCGGCGACGCGCTTCAACGGGCGAGAATCATCGCCCAAGCGCCGCGCGGATTTCGCCTGGAAGTGACGTTCTCGCTCCGCGGCGCAAAGTGTTCGCTCGCCTAGTCGCTGGAAGCGGGCCGCACGCGAGCGCGAGCGGGCAAAATGTCGTTGTCGCCCGAGCGCCTCGCAAATTTCGCCTGAAAGTGGCGTTTCCGCTACGGCGCGGCGCAAGCTTTGCTTTGGCCACCCCGAGGGGGCTCCACGGCACTCTCGCCGAAGCGCCGCCGCGCGAGCCTGTTGCCAAGCCGTCAGGAGAGGCGCCGCGCGCGAGCGCCTTCCGTTCGCAGGGTAGGCACGCGCGCAAGTCCCGATATCCAGCTGTGCCAGTCTGGCTTCTCATGTCACGGGAAAGGGGGGTTGGGCGAGGGCGGGGCCCGCTGCCTCGTTCGACCCGGCTGGGCTGAGCCGTAGTCCTTGCGGGTGCATGTTCGCACTCCCCTGTCCAGCGGTCATTTCGCCGCCCCAAGCGGGGTGTCCCCTCCTACCAGTCAGGATAACGCAAAACCTTCGATCATTCCATCAAGGCGCTCTGCCGTCAACGCCGCAACACACGCAGCAGTAAGGAAACTGGCGCACATCGCGCGAAAGCGAGACATGATGAGAAATGCCGCTCTCGCCTCAGCGCACCGCGGATGGAAACTGAGCTTCCGCATGGGCGGTGCGCATGCTTTGTGTTCGCAACATTGTGATCACAGAATGTGTCGGAGAACCGGATCCGCGCCCAGGAGAAAGAACTGCCACTCTCGCCCATGCGCCTCGCAAATTTGTTTCTCAAAGCCGCGTTCCCGCTTGGGCACAGCGCATGCCTTTCGGTCGCCAACCCTTTTTGGGGAAGTTGGGTCGCGCGCCAGCAAGCGGAATGCTGCTTCGGTTGCAGATCCAAGAGGATCCCCTACGGTTGTGTTCAAGCTTGGGCGGGGCGCATGTTTATCCTACGGCACGTCGTCGGACGCGAGGCCGCGCGCGAGAGCGCCTTCCGATTACAAAGTGGGAGCGCACGTCTGTCCCGATGTCCACGTGTGCCAGCATTGGTTATCAGATGATGCTATGAGAGGGAGGGTGGGAGTGGGCAGGGCCGTCTGCTCGTCCGAGCTGGCTAGTTTGACTCCACCTCCTCCTCCTCCTCCTCCTCCTCTTCATCCTCCTCCTCCTCCTCCTCCTCCTCCTC